TGGATTCTGTGATTTCAGCATTGCTGGATGACAAGAATAGGAAATTCATCTATGTTGAGATGGTATCCATTTGCTACTCTAATTTTTCCTTCATTTCCTTCTTTCTACTACTAGTCTACTGATACATAGGAGGATATGGCTCCCCATTTTTCCTTTCTAGGCTTTTTTCCAGAGGTGGTGGAGACAGCAGACTAATTCTACCAAGATCAAAGTACAGGAGCTCGTTCAATCTGGTCAACTAGAGTTCATGTGTGTGTCTTACTAATACTATTTTCAATCACTATCCTTTTTTGTAAAAGTAAAACTAAAAAGGACAAATTTTCTTCTTTCTCTCTTTGTAGAAATGGAGGTATGTGTATGCATGATGAGGCAACACCTCATTACATTGACATGATTGATCAGACAACCTTAGGCCACCGTTTTATCAAGGATGAGTTTGGTCAGATTCCTAGGGTGGGTTGGCAGATTGATCCTTTTGGCCATTCTGCTGTTCAAGCTTACTTGCTTGGTGCAGAGGTACAACTTTGTATATGCATTTTTTTTTTTTTATCTTCAATATGTTTTGCTTTATTTGTTGATCTCACTTCATCAAAATTTAATTTACTACTAACAAACTAAACTTACTCTGCTGTTCAATCCTGATTCAATTTTTTACACATCTACTAAACTAGGTAACTTGTTCGAACTCATGATTATTGCAGCTAGGATTTGACTCTCTCTTTTTTGCTCGAATTGATTACCAAGATAGAGCTAAGAGACTTCAGGACAAGACTCTTGAGGTTGTGTGGCGTGGCTCTAAGTCCCTTGGTTCTTCTTCCCAGGTTAATTATGGAGCTTTATTGTCTGTGTTTTTTTCCTTTTTTCATTTCCACTCTTTTGTTTTTAGCTTCTGGTCCTCTTTATGCTCCCAATCAAACTAAATTAGAACTTTTCCTTCTATTCATTTATGTCTGTTGCTTTGTTTGTTTATAGTAATATTTTAAGCATGCTTTTCACCATCAATATTGCAATTGTACTCGCAGATATTCACAGGTGTCTTCCCCAGGCATTATGATCCACCTGATGGCTTCACATTTGAAATCAATGATGTGTCTCCTCCAATTCAGGTAAACTTTGTTGAAGATATATATATATATATATATATATGGCTTTGGAATTCCTATTCACATGAAAATTTCAACATGTAGGACGATCCTCTTCTGTTTGACTATAATGTCCAAGAGCGTGTCAATGACTTTGTAGCTGCTGCTATGGCACAGGTAGACTTCAGACTCTCTATTCTATTATTTTTCTTGCCTTGTTGCATATCTGGGCTATACCTTCAAAATGTCACATTATGAGATAAGAGAGGTACAAAACATTTGGTTGATTGCAGTTATTAACCTACCATCTTTTCTTTAGGCTAATGTAACACGGACAAATCATATCATGTGGTGCATGGGGACAGATTTTCGCTATCAATATGCAAATTCATGGTTCAGACAGATGGACAAATTTATTCATTATGTTAATCAGGTATCTAATTCAAATGGGTTCTCAAAGATAAATACATTGGGACATTAAATGTCTATATTTTCATTTAATGTGTTTCTCTCTGCTATCACCTTATCATCTGGTTAGTGGGTTTGCAACTTTTCGTATTCTTCCTCACTGCTCTAGATCTTTAGTTGTGTTCCTAAGTTATCAAAATTCTCTTATTTGGGAACTCCCAGGATGGGCGTGTCAATGTTCTATATTCAACTCCATCCATCTATACTGATGCAAAATATGCCGCAGACGAAAAATGGCCCCTGAAGAGTGATGATTTTTTCCCGTAAGTTTGATATCAATATACTGGTGTGCTGCTTATACATGGTCTTGAACCTTTCTAAAATATATGATATCATATTCAGATATGCAGATAAACCAAATGCATATTGGACAGGTTATTTCACAAGTAGGCCGGCCCTTAAAGGTTATGTGAGAATGCTGAGTGGTTACTATCTGGTATGATAACTCATTCTTAGAAGGCATTCTTTTCTGTTAAGGTAGACTGCTGCAGCTTATTTTAGGAGTCTTATACTTTCTTTCTTTTATTGACAGGCTGCAAGGCAGTTGGAATATTTTAAAGGCAGGTCTAGTTCTGGACCAAACACTGATGCACTGGCTGATGCTTTGGCAATTGCTCAACACCATGATGCAGTCAGTGGTACAGAAAGGCAGCATGTTGCTGCTGATTATGCATTGCGAATGTCGATAGGCTATATGGAGGTACATATTGGTGTAATATCCAATATCATCAATGTAGAGTTATAGGCATTATAAATTTGTAATGTTTAACATGAATCCTGATACAGACTACTTATTCCTGTTTAGGCTGAGAAATTGGTTGCCTCTTCACTTGCTTTCTTGGCAGAGACAAGGTCAAGTACTGGAATTGGGAACCCTGTGACAGCATTTCAGCAGGTATCATGGATCTTGGTTTTGTCTTTGTTCCTGCATAACAGTTTGCATAACATGCATGCTACTCAGCCTAAGAAGAAGGAAGAGAAAAATAAAGAAATAAAGAACCAAATGCAAGATGTGGTGAACTGGTGATGGGAACATGCTCATGCAAGAGAGAACAATCTTAAAAAGCTATTTATTTTTTTAT